TCTCTCTCTCTCTCTCTCTCTCTCTCTCTTTCTTTCTTTCTTTCTTTCTTTTTTTTTTTTGAAATGGTGTCTCACTCTGTCACCCAGGCTGGAGTGCAGTGGTGCAATCTCGGCTCACAGCAACCTCCGTCTCCTGGGCTCAAGTGATTCTCTCGCCTCAGCCTCCCGAGTAGCTGGGACTATAGGCATGCACCACCATGCCCGGCTAATTTTTGTATTTTTAGCAGAGATTGGGGTTCACCATCGTCAGGCTGGTCTTGAGCTCCTGAGCTCAGCAATCCAGCCCGCCTTGGCCTCCCAAAGTGCTAGGATTACAGGTGTGAGCCACCACCCCTGGCCTATCCTTTGACATTTCAAGTCTCTCTCTCTCTCTCTCTCTCTCTCTCTTTCTTTCTTTCTTTCTTTCTTTTTTTTTTTTGAAATGGTGTCTCACTCTGTCACCCAGGCTGGAGTGCAGTGGTGCAATCTCGGCTCACAGCAACCTCCGTCTCCTGGGCTCAAGTGATTCTCTCGCCTCAGCCTCCCGAGTAGCTGGGACTATAGGCATGCACCACCATGCCCGGCTAATTTTTTGTATTTTAGCAGAGATGGGGTTCCACCACATCGTCCAGGCTGGTCTTGAGCTCCTGAGCTCAGGCAATCAGCCCACCTTGGCCTCCCAAAGTGCTAGGATTACAGGTGTGAGCCACCACCCCTGGCCTATCCTTTGACATTTCAAGAATGTCTGCCAGCCTGTTTGGAGGAAGGCATCCTTTCAAGCCTGAAGATCATTCATCAGAAGAAGATGAGGCTTCTGTGGACTTTATCAGGCCAGAGAGTTTTCCTACATTTCCTTTAAGTTTTGACTTTGAGCAGGTTTGGCTTTGAACATGTTTGTCATGAGCCTTAAAGTCCAGAATGGGACTTGCATGATAGACCATGTCCCGTGAATCTTGTCTGGAATAGCCCTTCATATTCTGAATGATGCTTAGCTGCAGAAGATAGATCCTCCTGAAAGCACATGGTGGACAGGTGTAAGACCGCCATAAATGGGGATGTCATCTGTGTGATGCACAAAAGGACTGGGCCAAGGAAGTGAGCAGAGTATGGCCTGAAACCCAGCCTGCACTCCACCAGCCACACCTTCCACCCTGGTGAGGGACTGTGTCTGCCTGGAGGAAAGAAAAACTTTTTCTTGCTTGTCCACCCAGAGCCAGGCATCTTTTTCTAACTCAATAAAGATACCATATGTATTAACAGCAGCACCAGGGGAAGGTGAGAAGACAAAAATATAGTAACCTACTCCATAGGACAAGTCATAGAAATCAGCCCTGACAAATCACAATAATGGATTTATTAAATTTCAAGAAAAGGTTGAACAATTGAGCTTCAGGAAAGGATGTAAGCATCTGGAGTCAATGCATCTCCTCACCAGAACATTCCCATTAAAGCAACCGCATTCTCACAGCTCCCCATCTCCGCCCCAGTTCAGAATTCCAGAATCTCGAGAGAGATAATCTGACTGGCCCAGCTTTGACCCTCTATACCAATCAGCCATGGCTAGGGCCAGGAGGAGTCACAGAATGTAGCATCTATGCCATCGACAACTGCTCAGCCCCCTTGCCATGGTTGTCAGGTTGGTGCCCAGAGAAAAGGCCCTAATTGTGAGCCTTCCAGCCCTCCAAGAATTCCTACAGCAGTGCAGTACGATTGTCTAGCATTTGTGAGCTTCCCACAAAGTCCTGGGAAGTTGATCTGACCCAACCAGTGGGAACAAAATGTTCCTATAGCTGTTTAGTCGTTTGATTTCACCCTACAAACAGCAGGCAGTGACATTTTCCATTTTCCACATTTTTCCAAAGATCTTGTTTATTAATGCTTTTAGCGTCAATAAAAAGTCAAATTCTTCATATTCTTCTCCTTATTAAGACTGTGTCATTGGGTGTGGTGGCTCATGCCTGTAATCCCAAGCACTTTGGGAGACTGAGGTGAGTGGATCACTTGAGGTCAGGAGTTTGAGACCAGCTTGGCCACATGATGAAACCCCATCTCTACTAAAACTACAAAAATTAGCCTGGCATGGTGGTGCAGGCCTGTAGTCTCAGCTACTCGGGATGCTGAGGCAGAAGAACTGCTTAAACCCAGGAGCTGGAGGTTGCAGTGAGCGGAGATTGCACCACTGTACTCCAGCCTGGGTGAGAGAGCGAGGCTCTGTCTCAAAAAAAAAAAAAAAAAAAAAAGACCGTGTCACAGAAGACGAGAGCATTCAGCTCTGTAAAACTGTTCAGAGGCCAACCTAACATCAGAAATGAATTCTACTTTGGGAGGCCAAGGCAGGAGGATTACATGAGGCCAGGAGTTCAAGATAGCCTGGGCAACATAGCAAAACCCTGTCACTACAAAAATAATAAAAAATTAAGCCAGGGCCAGGCACGGTGGCTCACATCTGTAATCCCACTTTGGGAGGCCAAGACGAGAGGATCATTTGAGTCCAGAAGTTTGAGATGAGCCTGGGCAACATAGCAAGACCCCATCTCTATTCGATAATTAAAAAAATAAATTAGCTGAGCGTGGCGGCATGCATGACTGTAGTCCCACCAACTTGGGAGGCTGAGGCAGAAGGATTGCTTGAATGATCCCTGTCTCAAAAAAAAAGAAAGAAGGAAATGAATTTTGGCAAAAGCCACAAAATTAGTTTGTAGTGTCTTGATTGGCAATCTCTTAAAATATTTTTTTAAATTATGATATACAGTCATGAACCACATAATGATGTTTCAGTCAACAAAGCATCGCATATACAATAGTAGTCTCATAAGACTATGATACCACATTTCTACTGTACCTTTTCTATGTTTAGATACACAAATACTTGCCATTGTGTTACACTTGCCTTCATTATTCAGTACAGTAACATACAGTAAGGGTTTGCAGCCTTCGAGCAATAGGCTAGGCCATATAGTCTAAGTGTGTAGTCAGCTATTCCATTATAAGTTTGTGTAAGTTCACTCGATAATGTTCACACAATAACAAAATTGCTTAACAATGTATCTGTAAGAACTTATTCCCCATAATTAACCCATGCATGACTGTATTTAAAATGTACACAAGCCGGGCACAGTGGCTCAAGCCTGTAATCTCAGCACTTTGGGAGGCCGAGACGGGCGGATCACGAGGTCAGGAGATCGAGACCATCCTGGCTAACACGGTGAAACCCCGTCTCTACTAAAAAGTACAAAAAACTAGCCGGGTGAGGTGGCGGGCGCCTGTAGTCCCAGCTACTCCGGAGGCTGAGGCAGGAGAATGGCGTAAACCCGGGAGGCGGAGCTTGCAGTGAGCTGAGATCTGGCCACTGCACTCCAGCCTGGGCGACAGAGCCAGACTCCATCTCAAAAAAAAAAAAAAAAAAAAAATGTACACAAAATGGTTTAACAGAAACCGTCATAGCCTCTCCCCAGATTCAACAGATATTAACATTTTGCTTCAGATTACCTTATATTTTTCAAAGGAATAAAACATTACAGCTACAGTCAAATCCCTGCCCCATATCCCTTCTCTCTCCCACTCACACAGATATGAGTGCCATCCTAAAGTTGGTGGCATCATTTCCAAGAGTGATTTTGGTTTTGACCTTTTGTTTGGCCCTCAGGTGCAAAAGCTTGAGTTCATCATTCTCCTCGATGGCACGCTGTCATCACCGTTCTGTACAGAGACCCTCTCTTGTTTTATTTATTTATTTCTTTAATCCTCATTCACCAGCCCAGTCCCCCATCTATGAATGAGGCAACCACATTAGTGTGTTTGACATCACATCTTTGTCTGTGTCTCTATAAAACATATGTTGCCGACTGGGTGCAGTGGCTCATGCCTGTAATCTCAGCACTTTGGGAGGCCGAGGCAGGTGGATCACCTGAGGTCAGGAGTTCAAGACCAGCTTGGGCAACATGGTGAAACTCTGTCTCTACTAAAAATACAAAAACTAGCCGGCCATGGTGGCGGGCTCCTGTAATCCCAGCTACTCTAGAGACTGAGACAGGACAATCGCTTGAACCCAGGAGGTGGACGTTGCAGTGAGCCGAGATCGTGCCATTGCACTCTAGACTGAACGACAAGTTGAAACTTTGTCTCAAAATAAAAAATAAAAAAAAGTTGCCTTTCTGTGCACATGTATTTTTAGTTTATATGAATGATGTGCTGCAGATTTCATTCTATTTCTTGCCTTCTTCAGGCAGCACTGTTTTAAGGTCCATCCACATTTTTGGGTGTACATCTAGTTGGTTCTGCATTCGCCCCATTGTATTATACTTATCCCATTCTTATTCCATCCCCCAGATGAAGTGGGGGAGAGAGAGGCAAACTGAGGAGATGACAGGCCTGTCCTTGAGACTCCATCCTAGGAGAGGGATACTAATGTCCCCTTTCCAACCACATGTGTACATGTGTGCATGCATATGTGCGCGCGCGCGCACACACACACACACACACACACTCCTTCAGCCGGGAACGTGGGAAGGTTGGGGTGTGGGAAAGAAACGGGGAGTTCAATCAGAGGAGGATCTATCCTGGAGCTCTGGTACTATGAAATCCAAGTCGTTGCCTCCTCCAGGAAGCCTGCCTTGACCACCCTGTTCCATGCAGATCTCTCCCTCTTCTGAGGATGGCAAATCTCATTTAATCATACACTAGTCTAATCTAGTCTTTCTGTTACTATCTCCCTAATCAGACTGAAATCCCATTAAAGGGAAAGACCATCTCTTGTTCTTTCTGTCTCTCTTGCTCAAGGCCTGTCCCAGAGGAAGTGAGAGCAGGGAGTGGGAAGTTGGATTTTGCTCTATTCAGGTTCCACTTCCTCTGTTTTAGGAACATGCCATCTTTCAGCAAACAATTATGTGCCAGGTTCGTAGAAGTCTGGAGAGGAAACGTGCACTGTGCCAGCTCTCAGGGGGCCTTTTTCATGGGGAATGTGAACATCCAAACACAAAGCTGGAGGACAAGGTGGAGGGTACACAGATCTGAGCATGTACCTGGGGCACAGAGGAGGAACCGCCAGCTCAGTGCACAGGGGGCCAGGGAGGGCTTCCAGCAGAGGTCACAACCAAGCTGAACCTGAAAGAGAAGAGTTAAGCTTAGAGCTGGGCTTGGAACAAGGGGAATATGAATTAACATGGGGAGGAAGCAAGAAATCTTGTGTGTGTTCCAGTCATTATGGCTGTGTAACAAATTATCATAATATTGGCATAAAACAACGCTTAATTATGTTTGGTATCAAGTCAGGGTCAGGAATCCGGACAGGGCACAGCAGGAGGAGCTTGTCTCTGCTCTCTGTTGATTGGGGCCTCCACTGGAAGCACTGAAGGTTGGGGTTTGGAATCATCTAAAAGCTCATTCACTCACAAATCTAGTGGTTGAACCTGGTTGCAGGTTGGAGGCCTCAGATCTCCTCCACATGGGTCTCTCCATGTGGGCCAGTTTGGGCATTTCCATAGCACAGTGTTTAGATTCCTACAGCACACATCCCAAAGAAGAGAGAGAGAGCTAGGTGGCAGTTTTAGCTTTTATATGACTTAGCATCAAAAATCATCCCTTTTGCCATAGTCTGTTGGTTAGAGCGGTCTCAAGCCCCTATCCCAATTTGATTAAGGAAACAGAGACCCCCTTCCTCTCAGTGGGAGGAGTGTCAGTCACATTGCAAGAGCATGTGGGTTGTAAGATATATTGTGGTGCAGTCATCTTTGGAAAACACAATCCCCACCACCTGTGTTGATGGGGATGGGAGGGGGTGGGGGAACAACAATAGACCAGTGTCCACTATGACTGGAGCAGCATGTGTGAGGTGAAGGCAGGAAAAAACAAGGCAACAAGGATAGGTCAGGCCAGGTTCTGGAGGGTCTTAAAAAGCACACGTAGAGGTTAGGTGCGGTGACTCAGGCCTGTAATCCCAACACTTTGGGAGGCTGAGGTGGGCTGATCGCAAGGTCAGGAGTTCCAGACCAGCCTGGCCAACATGGTGAAACCCCGTTTCTACTAAAAACACAAACAATTAGCTGGGCATGGTGGTGTGTGCCTATAATCCCAGCTACTCGGGAGGCTGAGGTAGGAGAATTGCTTAAACCCAGGAGGTGGAAGTTGCAGTGAGCTGAGATCGCACCATTGCACTCCAGCCTGGGTGACAGGGTGAGACTCCATCTCAAAAAAAAAAAAAAAAAAAACAAAGCACATGTAGGACAATGTTTACAGATAAAGGAAGACTTTGGAAGCCCCAGGACTCCTGCTTTCTTTTTCCCATCCACCAAGCATCTTCTCTGTGTTTGATCAGAAAATATGCAAAGCCCCCCATGAGTACCTGAAGCAGAGGAACTCTCAGGGTTTAGGCTTTCACGTAAGTTGGCTCTTCAAATGTATGGCAAGGTGGTGGACAGCAGTAAAGCCAGGTCTGTGTCCTGGGAGTTAGAGTCAAGGGTAGCTAACCAGCAGCTTCCTACCCCTGTTCCTATGTTCGCGTGCACACCACATGTACCTGGCCAAGCCCAGTCTCTCAACCTGAGTCCCATGGATGCTGTTGCCTGGGTGGCAGGTGGAGACTCTTCAGAAGTCTCCTGCCAGGTCCACTTTGAATGGCCCTAGGCAGAGCACCATTCATGCTTCATACACACAAGCTCAGGAGGTATAGGCCAAAGGTGTAACATGATACCAAGAAGAGAGCTTTAGCTTGGGATGGGAGTCCTGTGTCCTCATCCTGCCTCTGCTCAACCAGCTGTGGGCCTTGGGGAGGACATTACCTCTGCTGGATCTTGCAGATAAATGCAAGGATTGGACTAGACAGGAGTTTTCTCCAAGTGTAATCCTTGGAACTCATGCATTAAAATCACCCACCCAGAAAACTACAGTGAGATACCACCTCACACTAGAATGTTAAAATCACAAAGACTGACAATATCAAGTGCTGATGAAAAGGCAGAACAACTGGAACCCTCATATATTGCTGGTGTGGATGCAAAAATCATACAGCCACTTTAGAATCTACTAAAGCTAAATACCTTCCCTATGACCCAGCAATTTCACTCCTAGACATTTACCCAAAAGATAAAAACACGTGTTCACATAAAAAAAGACTCATATAAAACGATCATAGCAGCTTTATTTATAACAGCCAAAAATTAGAAACAGTCCAGGTGTCTGTCCATCAACAGGTGAATGGATCAAAAAAACTGTTTAATCAAAAGAAAGAAACTAAACTATTAATACACACAACGTGAATGGATTTCAAAAACATGATTCCAAATGAGAATAGTCAGAAACAAAACAAACGTATACTGTATGGCTCCATTTATCATGAAGTCCAAAAACAGATGAAACTTTAGGAATGGTGCTAGAAATCAGAGCAGTAGTTACCTGGGAGGATGAGCAGTGGGGTCGAGAAACTGGAAAGAGGATCCATGGTACTTTCTGGAGTGATGGAATTGTTCTATATCTTGATGGGATGTGGGTGACATGGAATTGCACACTTAAAATCTGTGTATTTCATTTCCCTGTTATATCTTATATTTTGTTACATATTATTAAAAGTAAAATATTTAGACTGGTAAAATGCAGTTTCCTGGGCGCCCCAGACTCACTGAGTCAGGGAGTCCTCTCTGGCGAGGCCCTGGAATCTGCATGCTGAACGGGCTCCAGCTTTGGAGAGAGCATTAGACTTGAGGCCCAGGTCCCCAGGGGCGATACCCACACGCCGCTCCCTGCCCCCCACCCCGGGACGCCCCCCACTGCACACGATCCCACTCAGCCCTTGGCGCTTCCCCCTCTCCCCAAGCCCCCAGTCCCTCTGCCCAGTCGCCCCTGGTAACCAAGAAAGGGCTTGAAAATCCTCAAAGTGCAGCCGCCCGGGGAGGGGCCGTCCACAGTGTCAGCGAGACAAGGGCACATACAAAATGCGGGGTAATTGCGGCTTCTCTAATTCGCGGCCCTTTGTGCGGCGGCGCGGAGCCGGCGGCCGAGCTCCCAAGCCCGGGCCTTTCAGCCGCCCAGGGGGGGCCCCGGCCGCCGCGCTCCCCGCGCTCCGCCGCGCATAATTAATCGGGCTTCACAGGGCCTGGGACAAAGGCGCCCATTCACCCCGCCGCTCCTCCCCCCGGGGATATTGTTATTTCTAAAAACTGCAGCCAGCTGGGCCGCAGAGAAACGTCAGCTCTGTGGGAGAATGAGCGCCCGGCCGGGCCGCGAGGAGACTGGGAGCTCTGTCTCTCGCGCCCCGCGCGGGATTAGAGCGGCCAGGGAGCTGGGGTGGGCAGGGGGCCCGGGGTCTTTTCTGAAGTCTGCACGACTCCTCAGAAAGCCTCGTGATTTCCATGGGGCCCTGGAGGAGGGCGCCATGGAAATGGTAATGCGGGGCATTGAAGCTGGCTCATAGGGAAGGAGGGGGGTTGCGTCCAGGCTGCCCAGGCCGTGGCACGGCTCCCAGGTGGGAGGGGCCGGTGGACGGCCCAGTGGCCAGGCCCGGGTGCCCCCACCTGTACCAGGCCCTCCCGGACACCGGGAAAAATGCATCCAGGAATAAAGGCCCGAGTCTGGGTCCGAGGAGCCTGCAGTTAATTTAGGGGCGGGGGATGTGGTGCCTCCACAGTAATCCAGCTCCGTTCCAAGGACCACCAGGAAAGCCGGTTGAAAGCATTGCCTACACACGCCTGGGCCTCACCACCTCACCACCGGGGATTCAGGCTCCCAACTTTCCAGGCATCTGCATTTTCCTAAGCTCTCCAAGCGCCTCTGAAGCCCGCCAACATTTGGTTACCACTCAGCACTGTCCCAGGAAGGTGGCTCCAGTGCTCCACGTCCCATTTCACAGGCGGGAAATGGGCCCAAGAAGATAAACAGACTTGTCCAAGATCACAGAACAGAGCTGGAACTGGACCTTGGGCACGTTGGTTGTATACAAAAGCAGAACAGAAGAAGGGAGAGGGTGCTAGAAAGGGGGTCTCAGGCCTCACTTCCTCCCCTAAGCATTCCCTGGCAGCTCGGGGCGTCTGAGCTCTCCCTTCCCTGGCCTCTCCTTGCAGGAGACCTGTCTGCCTGGTTAAATGCCTCCAGCGTGTTCTGTTCTGCCTCGTGGATTTGCGGGGGGTTCTCCTACCTGCTCCATCAGAGGCACGGTTGAGTGCAGGCCCAGAGGCCCCACTGATTTTATGCCAGGGTCAGTGCCCAGCAGAGCTCCAGGCAGGGCTTACTGGATGGGAGCAGCATCTCATGACTCCAGGGTCCAGGCCTTCTAGGCTGCACTCCTCTTCAAAGTCCAGTGTCCTCCCCAGGCCAAGGAGAGGCCCAGGTCCCGGGTCGGCAGTGCTGGGCTTCACCTTTGCCACTGAACCCAAGGAAACGAGCACCCGTCTATTCCTCCTCCCAAAGCTGGGAGCAGTTGTGAAGAGCCGCCATGAATTTCCAAAACCTCAGCATCCTGAACACCTCCCAGAACAAGCAGATGCCTTTCCAAAACCCTGCCCCTCCAAGCCCGTCTTACTGAGACATTCTGTCCCTCGGCTATACTCTGGAAAATGTTCTCTCAGCCTAAGACTGCCAGTCCCAAGCAGGACCACAGGCCTCAGAGCCAGACCGCACCACAGGGCCTTGCTCCTCCAGGCGAGTCAGGGAAAGGAAGCTGCCTGTATTTTCAGAAGAGCCCAGGCTGTCCTCCAAGGCCCAGAGAGGGTGCCCAGCCAAGCTTATTTCTGCTGCTACCACGCCATGCAAGACACTGGAAAGCCAACATCACACGACATTCACATCTGTGGGTGGAAGAATGTGCAGAAAACTCGAGAACAAAGTAGAGGGAAGGAGAGCACAGAGTTCAGCCAAGCCTCTAAGGGGACACACCAGCTGTCCAGTAACAAGCAGACTCAAGCACAGCCGCGGAAGTCAACAGATTTTCCCAGGGGGACCCTGTGACCTAGGCAGCCCCCAGCAGCCAGGTCACCAGCACAGCATCAAGCAGAAAACCAATCCAGCTCTGTCTCCCATTAAATCAGCTTTACTTAAGATATAGAATGACCCAATACTGTCTGAAAATGAGATGACCAAGGCTCAGCTAAGAGGAAGCCAGACTATGTAAAAGAATG